CAGAAACGGCTTGTTGAATTACTCCCAATGATTCTGCAAGCTCCTCTTGCATTTGACTCTGATCTTCTTCGAGTAATGCCTCTAATTCTTTGTCTTCGAATTTTTTTGGCTGTCCAGAGCGAGGCTTGTCTTCAACGCTGAAATTTCCATCCTTGAAATGTCGAAACCATTCCCTACATGATTTATCAGTTGGAGCAGTGTCACCATCAACTTCGACAAGCATTCGATGGGCTTCAGCTATACTTTTCTTCCAATTAAAGCAAAAAATTAGAACCTCCCGCAAATGCTGCTTAGTTAACACAAAATTCGACATTTTAAACACAGTAAAAGTCAAGGTTTTTGTATGAAACTAAAAGCGATATAAACTGAATATTATTAGCAGATGTCTAACCTCTCTTAAAACGCCAAAATCAGTTGTCACTATGAACCATTCACAACAGCCGGAGCCAGCTTTTGGAAAATTAACCGAACTAATTTGTACTCCCAATATTATTTATGGATGCGATCTACTTTACGCTATTTCTTCGAAGCATTTGATTGATCAATCAATGCTTCAAAGCATTTATAGCATCAACTGGACCGTAGCCTATAGCTCTAATAATATACATATATTTATATATATGTAAAATGCATTTAATTTATTTTAGAGAAATATATTATACTTTTGCTTTAACTTCGTTTCCAAACCAACAATAGATGAAAATTTGTGTCAATATGGCTCCCGTATACAATATCAATGAAATGAATGTCACATAATCTGTCGCCATTGCTATTCGATATAAATTTGAGCATACCACTAACATGCTTACTGCAAACTGGAGACCAATTATTTTCGCAAACATATTATTTATTGTATATGCATATCTGTGTGATTAAATATAAGAGGTTTAATTTTATAGCAAATAACCCTTAAAGTTATACATAAATTGAATTTTCATTACTATTTAATATCTAATAAAGTAATCAAAATAGATATACATATTAAGTTTTTACCTTTGAGATTTTTAATAAATAAGAAAGAAAGAATCAAATTAATTCAATAAAATTAATTTTAAATAAAATCTGTAAAATTAAGATATTGTTTAGAACGCTTTATTTATACTTTATTTATATCTTTTAATTATTTTGTATGATTTAAAGAACGCGCGATTCTTAGGAAAGCGGAACTTTGTATTATACAATATATAATTCAAATTTTCAAAATACATAAGGAACCAACTCAAAGATACGGTTGTGATGAGAAACACAATTACGCAGAACGTCTTCACCATGCGTCATTTTTGTCAATCGATACTCCAAAATTTCAAGTTGGCAGCAGATGTGTAATAAAAGACCGCAAATGACGCTCTCGCAAGCAACATTTACTATACCGGAAGTTGCCATGCCTATCAGCTGGTGAGTATAAACAAGAAAGTATAAAGCAGGATATGAATAGTTGAATGGCACCCATGCTTTATATGTCAAATTTCTATTTGAAAGTTCCGTAAAAACAGACGTTAAAACTATTGATATAATTGTCGCCATAATGAGAATCAAATATCGTAACGTGCTATTCCTATAAAATAACCATAAAAATTATTTAAACTAATTCTTTAATAAAAGTTTTATTTAACTCTACTATTATTTTATTACTGTATAGTTACTATATATATTTTTCTTAAGTTTTTTTTTTAATAAGTTTTTATAAGTATAATAAATATTTTTTTAATTTTAAATAAAGATATAATAATAATAACTTTTGAAAAAATGAAATTACGTTATATATTATATATCTGTGTAAATCTATTTCTATATCCATTTGTATAAATTGTCAGTAAAATACGAATACAATATGAATACAATAATTACATTATTTTTATTACTTTTAAATATTGGAGGACATATAAGAAATATTTTGTTATTTAGAAAATGTTTTATTGGAGAATAATTAAAAAATTTTTTTATTTGCATGACATTAATACTTACTGTACCATTTTCTCAAATTTCTGTTGAATTCTTAATTCTTGTGTTTCACATGCTGCAAAAGGTTTTTCATTAAGAACGTTGATTATAACCATAACATTTTTGCGATCTATCCACATATAAACTTGTTTATAGCCTGCGACGAATACGGTCAACATCATGTATAAGGAATCAGTGAACTCGTCAGAATTTTCGACGTTCAGTACAATGTTCATAAATTGAGATATCGAAAATATATATAATGAAGAGACAAGAAACATTGCATATATTTTATAAATTGTATGTTTAAATAATGATGTCCATGAAATCGGTTGCCAGCATCCAGCAAATGCGCAGACTAAGAGTGTAAATTTCAGCACTTGCATTTGAGCTCCTTTAATGCAGTTTTGCTTACACCAATTGCTATTAATATTTATTAATTAAATTATTTTTAACAATTGCATAGAAATGTTTCTCTTCAAAGATAAATATCATAAATTACTATAAAATAAGTTTACTAAAAACGATAAAAAGGAGTACAAAAGGAATTAAAATTTTATTTTTTAATTTGTTTAATAAAATTCTACTTGAAATATATTTTTATTTTGTAAATATATTTTCCATAATTTATAACTACATAACAATTTATAGCTTAACTAAAGATATTTAATATAAAAAATTGATATTGTTAAATTTTGATTTGATTAAATTTTGATGAGAGGAATTTATATTTACAAAGATAATTTATTAAATTAATAAAACATATTAATTTGGAATCATTTAATAAAATTTAATTTTTGTTATATTGAACTTTTGATATGTATATTTTTACAATGTATTTACTTTTTTATACAAAGATCCTTTTGCATCGTGATTTACTTACGCTTATTCAATATTTCACTTTTAAGTTAATTTAAATTATTCATTAATTTTTAAAGATTATTTAAGCTCTTGTTGCGTCTTAAACGAAAATAGATAAGATTTGAAAGAAAGAAAAACTCGGAATGTCTGTAGAATGTCTCGCGACTTTCTGATAATGATACTATCCATTACGTATTCTCTGTATGTACCTCTGCCGTTATTATTGTCCATACATACAATCTACGATGATATCCTATGAAATAATATTTTCACGAGTTAAAATGCGGGATTCTTTTGATATATATGTTCTATTAGAAATTGTATAATACAATATATTTTCATAAAGACAGCAAAACAGAAGGAAAACTGATATATGGAGAGAAATGAATTCTTTGAATTATCAATAAATTACTAGTCATTAACTATTTGCAGAATACTTCAATATAGATTCCTCATTATATATTGTTCCGTCAAAATATTATATTTATTATTTTCCATTGTGTTGTCTATAATTTTAAACATATCACTTTGAATATCAGTTAACAAATCATTAGTTGCAATTACTTCTATAAAATCTTAATATTGATAATAGTTCATATACTCAGTTTTACATTTACTATGTTTTCGTTATATTCCTATATTTTCTTTTTCTGAGCGAGTATAGTATGCCTGAGAACAATGAAAGGGGAATATAGCTATTTTTTTAGTCTTGTCACGCAAGAATAAGAAGGCATCTTATAAGAAGGCGTAATCTATAAGTGTATGATGTTATTTCCATATTATGATTCCTACATTTATTCTCTTCTACATCACGAATGTAAATGAGGTAAGACAAAATTTTAATCCTTAAATTTTGTATACATATAAATTAATAGTATAAATAAATTAAAGTATATAAAAAATATATATAAAATAAATAAGTATAGCATAAATTAAAATTAATTATTGATAATTATTGAAATTTGTGTATAATGATGTTAATTGTTTATTATATCGGATGTTACGACAGTGCTGTCCAAAATAAAAATGAATAGTTTAACGTAAAACGTCCCAGGGTTGCCAGTTATAATATAATGAAACCAACATAGTCAACGTTACGGCTGTCAACTGATGGACAAGGTTCTGTCAACCAATACTAGGCCATCACTGGCAAATAACTAAGCTAGTACCATCTGTCAGTACTAGGCCCAAGTTATCATCCAGTACTGGGTTAGTAGTTCGCCAATATTGAACTGTGGCAACCAGTAATGGCCCAGCATTGAGCCAATTGTAAAGCCCTATATAGAATGTCTGTGTGTGTGTAATAAAGAAAAAATAAAATGTTTTATACACATAATGAAATTGCTTATAATGATTTTATTTATATATTCAGCATCAATACATTTTAAATTGTTGATAAAATTCTTTAATCAATATCTTTTTACTTCTTCAAAAAACACTTAAAACAATTGTTTTATGTATTATAACGTGTTATCAAGAGTTCTTATTATAACTTCTTTTCAAGAAGATAAAATTGTATGAATCTAAAGATCATTTTATCGATACTAACAAGGTATTAATATTTATTTCTACATTTCAACATTCTTTTTTTTTTATATAATTTTATAAAAATTAATGAGAACAATAACAAATTCCTATTAAGCATGTTACTATTCATTTGTTTGATGCAGCAAATTGAAAACAGAATATGACATCTTAAGCAACTGTAAAAAAAATTATAAGTATATTAAAAATTATTAAAAATAATTGTAAAATTTAATAATAATATCCATTTTAAATATTTGATACTGACAACTACAAATGACTCAAGATTCATCGTGATTATGTACCCACTGGTAAATTCGATAGGAGTCATCGCGCGCTTCATAATTAATAAGAGATCTTTTTTATTACTATTACTAAGCGCCAGCCATTCTATATTATAAATACTATTTATCAATTGAAGGCTCTACAAATAAAAATGCATATTTAACATATTGTTATAGTGAGAAATGTTATATTTTTTTTGATAATCTTAGTTATGTATTTATTTTGCATTTAGCATCACAAATAATTTATTTTAAACAATATTCAGTATATAAATAGGATCAATTTAAATAAGATGTACTTTTAACTTGACTTCGTTTCCAAACCAGCAGTAGATGAAAATCTGCACTAAAATAGCACTGGTATACATTATTAGTGGAATGAAACTAACGTAATCTCTCGCCATAGCTATTCGGTACAAATTTGAGCATACTACCAACATGCTCACAGCAAACTGGACAGCAATTATTTTTGCGAACATATTATTTACCGTATATGCATATCTGCGATTAGATTAAAAATTTTCAGTAATACTTTAATATTCTAACAAATATAATTTTTTAATTATTTACAAATTATTAGACTATGTTACTTAATTTTAATTGCTCGTTTAATACAGAGAATATATAATATTTTGTAATATTTATAATATTTTAGTAATGATATTTTATTTTTTATGCTTCTTTTTTACAGATTTTTTACAGAATTTATCTACCTTCAATGAAAATTTTATATTAATAAATATAACTACTATTTTATTTAATAAATATTTAATCTCTGCGAAAATATTTTTTAAATCTTTTTTTTTAATCAAATTTCATTTGAAATTTGTTAAAGAATTCAATACTTTATTAGCTATATTTATATTTCTTTATGTTGTTTTCGTCCAAAAATTCTATAGATTTTTATAAATAAAAAATCATTTATCTTTCTAATTATTATAAAAAAATTGTAGTAAAAAATATAAAATCTTCTTCAGTTATTTATTGTTTCAGTTATTTATCTATTTGAGAAATAAATAATTGTTTAAAACATATCTTTATTTTGTATGCATCCGAGTTTTTTTAATTAGAAGGAAAATTAAAAAAATTTTGTCTTAAATGTGAACTGTTTAAATAAACTAACTCAAAGATACGGTTGTGATGACGAACACAATCGCGCAGACTATTTTGATCGTGCGGTAGTTTTGTCAGTCGATATTCCAGAATTTCAAATTGACAGCAGATGTGCAGTAAGAATCCACAAAGTAAGCTCTCGCAAGCAACATTTACTATACCAGAGGTTGACATAGCTATTAATTGATGAATATATACAACAAAATAAATAACGGGAGATGAGTAGTCAAACGGTACCCATGCCTTATATGTTAAGTTTCTTTTCATAAAGTCCGTGGAGACAGACATCATTACTATCGATGCGATTGACATCAAGACGATGATTAAATATCTCCGCATATTGTTTCTATAAAACAATTATAAAATTTGTTACAGCAATTCCACGAGATAAACTCGTTTTTTTAATATTTTCTGCAGTACATATCACCTATAACACTTTTTATCTATAGGTATTTACAAATGTAAAAATATTCATAATCCTATAAAAAAAAATTTAATAAAATGAAACATAATTTAGATTATCTGTATCAAATTATTATGTAATATAAATAGATGCGCTGTAATTACTATAATGCCATAATTACTAATGCTATAATTACTATAAAATATCTAAAAAGCAAGACAAGATATTGCTATCTAGAAATTTGCTATCTAGAAATTGAGGAATAACTGATGCATTTAATTACACAATTTTATGACACTTACTGTACCAGTTTCTCAAATTTTTCTTGAATCATTATTTCATGTGTTTCATATGGTGCAAAAGGTTTTTCGTTAAGAATATTTATTATTATCATAAAATTCTTACGATCTACCCACATATAAACCTGTTTGTAGCCTGCTATGAATATCGTCAACATCATGTATAAAGCATCGGTAAATTCATCAGAGTTGCCGACGTTTAATGTAATGTTTATAAATTGAGAAATCAAAAATAAATATAATGAAGAGATCAGAAATATTGCATAAGTCTTATAAATTATATGTTTAAACAGCGATGTCCATGTAATCGGTTGCCAGCATCCAGCGAACGCACAGAGCATGAGTGAAAATTTCAGCATTTGAACTTCTTTTTAATGTAGATTAGCCTATACAATTTGCAGTTAACATTTACGTTATTATTTATTATGGTTGAAGTATTTCCTTTTTTGTTAAGGATAGAGGAAGAAAATATTAAGAATGATTCTAATATACTAATTTAAAAACGTTAAGAAATTCTTTGAAATTGATTTTAAAACCTTATTTTTATATGCACTTACAAAGATTTCCCAATTAATTTATATTACTTGCATTTATTTCAATTGTTTATCACATTATTATAAAATTAACATAAACTATTCAGGTAATTCTTGAGAACATTATTTAATTAAATCTTCGTTTTTTATCTCCTCAAATTACAATGTACTACTGTATCTCTATACTATTTTCTAATTCTGATTTCTACTCGTCCCACACACATGTATCAATACTTCTATTATTATTATTATAATACGAAACTAGTAACGCGACATTCTTAAGAAATAATATTTTCATGAAATAAGACACGAGAGTGTTTCGAGATATATGCTTTATTAGACAAATGTATAACTGTCTATAAATATTTTTATAAAGACGACGAGATAGAAAAAACAGATATACGGAAGAATAAATTCTTTGAATTGTCCTCAGTAAGATGTATTATTTGTCTTCTATATTTCCACAATTACGTTTAATAATAATTTACCTTTAATATAGTTCACTCATGATATATTACAAAATATTTTTACTATCTGTTTACGAAATTAATACCTTGGTTGTTGCGTAGTAAATCGTTGGCTATAGCTCACGGCAATGAAATTTTAATGTTAATAGTTTGTACGTCCGGTTAGGTACTAATATACTTTTTGTCTTAGCGTCTACGACTCGCTGTCACATGTCAAAATATCATCAAGTGCTTCATTGAATGTTGACTTTACATTTACTCTTCGTTTATATGTACTTTATATACACAGGTAAGAAAATATCTTAGATTTTTTTTTAAATGTAAAGTTAAAGATATTAGCAGGATAAAGTCGTCTAATATGAGATACCTTTTTTTAAAGATTTGTAATTTATTTAATTTGCAACCTTAATTCTTATTTTCGTGTTAATTTTATGAGAAATATATTCAAGATTTACCACCTAAAGTTAGCGATCGATAGTAGCTAGTAACTTTGTTGTATGTGAAATTTTTTATCGAAAGTGCTGATTTTGCTCATTCTCAAAAATGGGTTCCTAATATGAGATACAAGAGTTTTCTTGTATGAGATGATGTCTAATAACAAAAAATTAAGGAAAAAATAAAAATAAGCTTTTTGTATATGTTTTTATTATATTACATACAAGCAGGAACAAAGAATTTGAATGTTATACATAATAATTATACAATTTTTTGATTTTTTTACTAAATATGTTTCACTCTATGAGTAACAAGTTCATAATAAAATCAATCACATGTTCTTATTAATTTAGCAGAAATCCCGCTATCTCATATTGGGAACCTATTCCATAATAGACGACCTTGCCCTAGTTATTTACAATAATTATAACAAATTTTTCTATTATAATGTACTTATAATTACTTGCATGCATATTATTTTTAGCTACAATATTATTTATTATAATAAAGTGTCAATAAACAATTTTAACGCAATAAATATTTGTAACCTAAGGAGGAATAATAGAAATTGAGTAGAAATATCTCGGAAAAGTTTATAACAAAATCTTTATAATTTGAATATGTCTATTGGTAATATAAATTTCTTGTAATATTATTTTAATTTTATTTCTCGTCCTAAGTACGTATACCTATTATTACCTTTTCTTATACCATAAAAAGTACATGGTAAATACAAGCATGTACTTCCGCAAATATTGATATATTGTTTAAACATAATTTAGTAATATATATACAATATATATCAACGATATGTTAATATATTTATTTTATATATTTTTTAACTGATTTTTTAACATACCTTGTACATCGCTTATGAAATATAAACAATAACAATTTCTATTAATCCTGTAGAGAGTGCTTTAATAAGTTGTAAGCTGAATACGATGATTTAAGTAACTGTAAAAAGATTTTAAGTATTTAATATTACACTTGATATTTATAGCAAATTTATATTTATATTTATAAATGTAAATTCATTTTTATAATACTGACAGACACAAATGAATCAAGATTCAATGTGATAATAACCGCGCTATTAAATTCAATAGGAACCATTGAGCGTCTCATGATTAGCAGCAAAGCTTTTTTATTCTTGTTATCAAACACATGCCACTTCATGTTGTATATGCTGTTTGCTACTCCAATGCTCTATATGTAAATATTGCTCATTAAAAAAGATATCACGTGTTGTATAGTAAAATTTCTTTTTCTTCTTTTCAATTTTTTATGTTTATTTCTTTAAAGTTCTAATAATAATAAACGAAAAATATAATTTATATTTTTTATATCTATATATAAGATCATATATGTATTTATATAAATTATATACCTTTAATTTGAGTTCATTTCCAAACCAGCAATAAAGGAAGATCTGTGATAACATGCAGGCCGTATACATTATTAATGTAACAAGGCTTCCATTGATCATTACGATAGAAATAGAAGCCAATTTGTATAAATTAGCACACACCACTAACATGCTTACTGCAAACTGAAGAGCAATTATCTTCGCAAATCTACGATTTACCATATGCGCATATCTAACATTAAATAAAGAAAGAAAAAGAATTTTAGTCTATTCTCTATATATAACTTTCAAACATTTTCATAACACCTTTCATAACATTTTTTATGAAATAAATAATTTAATAATTTTCGAACTACTTTGAGATGAGAATTTCGCAGAAGAGAACGTACAAGTAGATCATTTTGCGTGTAATGATTATATTCCAAATATTTTAAATAAAATTGTTTTAAAAAACTAACTCATATATACGACCATGGTAACGAATACAGTTGCAGAGACTATGTTGGTCGTATGAGATTTTCAATCGATATTCCAGAATCTCAAGCTGACAGCAAATCTCTTGCAGGAGTCCGGATATTAGGCTATCACAGGCAACGTTTACAGTCGCACAGATTGACATACCTATTATTTGGTGAGTGAATACGAAAAAAAATATAATGGGTGATGTGCAGTCAAATGGCACCCATGCTTTGAATGTCAAATTTCCTTTCATAAAATCCATGAAAATAGCATTTAAAATTATGCATATGACCGTTACCTGCACAAGGCCGTAATAGCACAATGCATATTTCCTATAAAATATATTTTTTATGAAAATATTCTAACGACTATGAAAAAGTGTTATGTCTATTTGTTCTCGAAACGTTTGCTTATATACTACTCATAATGTTATATTTTTATGAATTATATCACTATTTATATCTATGTTGTTTGTGACATATTGATAAATTAGAAGCATTCTGCTGTAAATTATTAATATTTCACGAACATGATATAAAAATATAATAATATTAATATAATTCGGAAGACTGCCTGTAATAATGAAACATTAAAATAATTGTATTCGGAAAATGATCAAATTATGTTAAACATAACAGATATAAGAGAGAATCGCCGAATGTGTACTATTTAAACAATTTTTTATTACATGTTCCATTTAATATTGATTTGTACGCAAATGAATATTGGAAATTGTAGCTTAATGTTTCTTATTGTTTATCATTACATGTTTAAATTTTTAATATATAAATTTGTTATGTTGTTTTGAAACATATTTCAATACGCAGGAGACTGTGGCACTCACAGTCTTTGCATGGAAAGTTGGACTCCTCTAGACAAAGGAAGAGGTGGGATGGACCTAACTTTGCATGAAAAGTCTTTATAAAATTGTAAAAATTATGTTCTATTTATATAACTTATTCTGTTATTAATATTGTAACAAACGATATTCAAAATCTATTGGAGGTCACTCTGGGCCATGACCTTAACAACATATGTCAAAGTCATTGAAATCTGTGAGATCGGCCTTAATATGCAATAATTATTCTAATTTCTCGTTTTTTATTCCAAATTTTTGTTAATAAATGTCTTCATATTAAGTAATAATGTAAAATATTGATGAAGTAACAATTGAGGCAAACACATTCAGCAATTCTCTCATACATATGTACATTATGTTAATTGTGTTAACTAAATAAAGTATATAAATATGGTTACATTCTGAAGTACTGTTATAACGCATTTTATAACGCAATGATGGGATAAAACATTCTGATTATTTAGAAATTATTATTATTAATTATAATATAAATTTAATTATTGAATTATGACTGTGTTGCACTTTATGTTTGTATAATTCAAAAATAATACTTACCTTATCGTTTTGTCATATCTTTGTCGAATTATTATTTCGCATGATTCCGATGGTTTAAAAGGTTCCTCCTTAAGAACATTGACTATCGTTACGACATGTTCTTTAATTATCCACATAGTAACTATTTTATAAGTCGCGATAAATACCGCCAATGTCATATATATATTATCGCTTATTTCATCAAAATTGTTAATATTTAATGCAATGTTCATAATTTGCGATATTGTAAATGCACTTGCTATGCAAATCAGCAATATTCTATAACTATTATACATTATATATTTTGACTGCGATGTCCATGTAAGCGGTTGCCAACATCCGCAGACCGTACAAAGTACAAGTGTAAACTGCAGCACGATCATTCGAATTTTTTGAAGTTTAATCTTGCCTACACTCTAATTACTATACAGTGTTATGTCTACTCACAATTCCAATATTATACATGTAAAATAAAAAAAAGTAAAATTAAAATTGCATATAAGATTTAAAAAGAAAGTGTTATACGTGTGTGTGTGTGTGTGTGTGTGTGTGTGTGTGTGTGTGTGCGTGTGTGCGCGCGCGCGTGTGTGCGTGTATGTGTGTGTGTGCGTGTACGTGCGCGTATGTGTATGTAATACTTTCTGTATACATACAAAAATACTTTCTGTATACGTATCAAATAAAATATTTTTTTCTGATATTTTTAAATATAAAGTTTAACTTCACTTAAATAGACTTCAAAATTATTTAAAAGAAGGGTATATACCCAGAAAGATCAAATAGGTATCTTTTTTTACGGATTTTTTTTCGTGAAAACTATTAACTTTACTCAAACAGGATTTTAACCAATACATGTATCAGTGTAAAACTTTTAGTTGAAAATGTTAACAAAGAGCGCTGGTACAACTAATATGTAGGACACTATAGGATATTGGCTAAAACTCTGTTTTAAAGTAAATAGTTTTCGTAAAAGAATTCAAAAAATTGGCATGTTTTTCTTTCTAGTTAGTCTTCTACCCTTAATTTAAACGTTTAATGTCAGACATTAAGTAAAAAAATTTTTCTTAATTTTCTAATAAACCGAACGATATTATTATAAAAATGTAAAAATAATTTTAAAATAAACATAATATATAATTCTACAATTCCATTTTTAAAGTATAAATTTACAATATTTGTTATACTTATAAAATGATTAACTTACAAAGTGATTCTCACAATCAATTACTTAACATTATATTAAAAGTATTAGTGTAAATTTCTTAAAAAGTAATTGATATTTAATTGTGGACAAATTAATGGAAAAAATTATATGACTAAATCATATTCACGTATCAAATAGGATCAATAAATTGTACCAGAGAGCGAGATATACCCGAAATGTCTATAGCCTTCGACACCACTTTCTGACAATACACAGTACTTACTGATCGTGCGCCAAACTTTTTTCTGTCTCTATTATTATCATAATACCGATCTTGTAACGGCGCATTATGTATTTCCATGAGACATAAAGAGATAAACTGCAATTCTTTCATATGATGGAGTAAATATTGTAAATAATATTTCCATAAGATAGGAAGCAAAGAGATATAGGTTTTCTTCGAAGATTCATCAATATAAAATATCAAGTATAAGTTGCTTCTATGAAGTATGCATGCGTCACTTATAATATGTATATTTGATAAAAAAATATTTCTTTTAAAAAAAATATTACTGTCGCTAGCCAGTGCTTCACATGCTATCACGTGCTTCACATGTCATTATATTTTACATATTGATTTCTATTGTATTGTGATGGCCAGTGAAACATAAATATCGGAGAGGCAGTAAATTATAGAATATGATCTAACAGTGACGTAATATATTCTACGAAACTCTTTTTATAACATATTGATAGTCACAACAATTAAAACAATATTGTACACAAATTTTTGATGTGCAAAAAGTGTGAGTGTTACATACTTAACATTAATTGCAACAACATCTTAATTATTAAAGAAAGATTATATTTATATATTTTTATTATAAATAATTTTTAAAAATATTAAAAATTACCTATATTTTGATTTATTCCATCACGTGTGCACATGTTCTTTTATTAATATATTAACTATTATTTAACATTTCTTAACAATTTTATAATAAGCAAAGGTAGTATAAAAGAAGGGCAACGAGCCAATGACGCAAATAAAAAATTATAATTCAGCTAAGAAAACTTAATACAAAAACATTTAAAATACAA